ATCCACACCCACACCCACACCGGCAGAACAGCGTTTCCTCAACTAACTGGGTAGTCTATTGCCTCAAATAAAATAAAATGTTTGGATTAAGTTAGATTGTTTCTGTAGTCACTGTGTATAGGGTGTGGGTGTGAGTGTAACCATACTCACACCCACACCTCCAGCTAATTATGCTGACTAATCAAATATTCTTTCGAAATCAGTAATCATGATGTTGCTGATAGAATAAGTGACTTTGCAAAAAGAAAATAGTGTTTTTTATCTTTGAGCTTGAGTGCACTTGTGAGTATTCGTGTTTGAAATTTAGTTTTTGTCACAAAGTAGTATTGATTGGCGTGCGATATTTATACTTCATCGTCAACGTGAAATTCTCTATTTTTTCAGTAATAATTGTTTTTGACAAACATAATATTTGAGAAAGTGTACATAAGATCTGACGAGGGCGTTACTTTCTAGTTAGAATGGATGTTTCGCAAGTTACATATGATATTTTCGTTTTCATATTCTATTTTCTGAGCGAAATAGTATTGTGATCAGTTGGCCAAAATATTATCGTTTATTCAGATTAAGAAGAGTTTTTGAAATTGATTTCAAAATTTCTTTTATAAATAATATAAAATATAAATTGAGATATGAAACTATCAGTTTAATGAATACCACGTTAAAATTAGTGACCAAATCTTAATGTATTATGGAGTTTCTGGCTACTGTCTGCGAGAGTCGAAAGAAGTAGCTTAGCTATCTCGTATTGGTCTTGCATATATTTAACATACTTCGCTCTTAATGTTTTTTTTTGAATCTTTCGTCTATATAAGAACAATATTTACTTAACGATTATTCATTTTTAACAGACGATCGGAATGATTTTTTTTCTCATTCTCCTTAAAAAAAAAAATCAGTTCTTTTTGTTACATTGCTTGCCAGTGACTGTTTTCGTGCACGGAAGTTCTGTACAGTATTAATGTGAACTCGAAAACTATTTTTGATTGGTAGAGACTGAAAGCTTGCAAAGATTAATAATCAGCATGATGTTTGTTTGACAAAAAACATATTTGCGCTCGGCAGCAGATATAAAATCACAAAACAGAAATTATCAAAAGCACTCTAGACGTACAAATATGTTTCGAAAAATATTAATATCCATCGTCTTCGTATGGCTTATTCTGATGATGGAACATCGGAGCGATGCGATACAGACTCTCGATGATTTTTTCCCCTTTGGTTATGGGGCAGGCGATACAAGGATGCATCTCAATGATGACGAAAGTGTAGGACCTATTCCATTACCATACACATTTCCTTACTTTGATAACAATCATCGGCAAATATATTTAGCCAACAATGGTCTTTTCTCTTTCTTGAGTGGTATTTCTACATACAATCCGATTGCGTTTCCCTTGGGAAATGATCAACGTTTGATAACGCCTTTCTGGTCGGATATCGACACAAGAGGAAATACGGGTAATTCATTTGACAACAGCGTTTTCTACAATGTTCATACACGAACATCGTCGAATGCATCCAACATTACTACATCTATTTTCACGAAAGCTAAACTGTATGTTCGTCAATATTTTCCTCGAGAAACGGCATTCGAACCAGTTATGGCAATTACGGGCACATGGTATCGAGTCGGCTACTACAGCTATGGAATAAACCGTTTAAATACTTTCCAAATGGTATTAGTCACCGATGAATCGCGAAGTTTTACATTTTTTCTGTACAATGATTTACAATGGGCTAGCCAAAGTGCAGGTGGACCTTATGCCCAGGCTGGTTTCAACGCTGGTGATGGAATAACTGCTACGATGCTCAAGTATTCTCGTACACAAAACATAATATTACTTGTTAATGAGAGTAATGTAAATGCTCCCGGTCTCTTTGCATTTCGAATAGATACTGCTAATATCGAAGCCGGTGGATGCAATGAAAATGGTTCACTGACTCATTATCCTGTTCGTGGAGATCAGATTGGAGGTGCAACGATCACTCTACGAGGTCCCTGTTTCGATACAAATAAAACAGTGATTTTATGCCGCTTTGGTGAATTCGGAACTGTATACGGTTGGATCCAGAGTGAATTTCGAGCTGTATGCATCTCACCTCTGGCAGCATATCCTAATGTTGTTAATTTAAGCGTTTCCTTTGATAATGGTGAGACCTTCAACTTTTCTGGTTTTTTTTACCTACATGCCAATGAGTAATGACGTCTTTCTCAAAGAAGAAGTCATTCTCCGTAAAAATCATAGTGCTGATCAAGTCGTCTTTTGGAATGACACAATAGAACTGGAATGGGCTTTCTCATCAACATTATTAACAGAAAACTCTTCTGATGCTCTCATTGATATAGACTATGAAATATTTCAGCCTGATGAAGAGAGCACTCGTCGGCGAGCACGCGCATCAAACCAAGATGTTGATATCAAAATTGGTACGGTGTATACATTGGTCACAGACATCCGACCACAAGTCGGTCGTCAAACAATTCAAATCAATCTATCAGATACGGCTCTTCAACAGCAGCGTATACTACCAATAGGAGCTGTGATTGTTGGAGCTTTCCGCATTGGTATTTACATATATCGAGGTTACAAGATTTATAGATCTGTGAAAACACTTGTCAAAATTATTCAGAAAGCATCTGGCGTCGCCTGTGATCTTTGGAGCGATAATGAACCAGATCCTTCAACATGGAATCAAAATCTTCTTCCATGCCCAAATACTGCTCGACAAGCTCAAGTAGCTCGGGCTCAATATGAGCCTGACGCACTATGCAGAGATGGGCGATCGGTACCCACATGGATTTCGTTAGTTGGAAACTGCTGGTACCATCAAGGGCGACCAGAATTCAATGAGGATAATGCAGCTGCTTGTTATCGATCAATAAGATCAAATGAAAATGGTGCTGGTGGTCAATGTTGTTATAACGAAGGAGGCCAGTTAATTACACGAGGAACAGGTGCTGGAAGTGATGATCGATATCATAGTGGTCAGACGTTTTGGAAACATCAGTTTCACGACGTAATTACATTCCTCGCTTGCTGTAAATTTCAATCTGACCCAACAAAATGTGACAAATATCTTGAACGTCGGCCATCTCGACCAGGTAGCAATACTATGGGTCAATTCGGTGGTGCATGGGGTGATCCTCACTTTTTGACATTAGATGGAACCTCCTACACATTCAATGGTTATGGAGAATATATTTATTTGGTAAGTTCCACATGCATCATTTATTTCCAAAGATTTTTTAAAACCTATTCATCTACTAAATAGGTGATTCCATCGAAAGCGTCGATTGCCTTCGACATTAATAGTCCACTTCAATTTGAATCGCAAATCCGGTCGACAACTTTAAGTGCAAATATGACTGATGTCACTGCTATCAAAGCTTTTGCTGCTCGTGTTGATTCCATGAGTATCAGTATTACGGTATCTCGACGAAATCAATTACTTGTGTATCTCAATAACGAAGAACTGACATTCGAGATTGATTCAGATACAGAAACACAGTTCGATACAATCACGTTACGATTCGATGGGTTCTCCATCACCAAAAATCTGACTAATAATCAATTTACACTTTCATGGTCTCTCGGAGTCAGTATCCAAGTTACACCCGTAATTGTTAATACAGCGTCGACCCTAGTGTTAAATGTAGCCGCAGCGGTTGGTGGTAACTTTAAAGGTAATTGGACGTTAGGCTTGATTGGTAGCTATGATGGTAATCCAATGAATGATTTACGCGACAAAAACGGGACAGTTGTTGGTACTGTCAACATGCTGACCCCACAACAGATTCATGAGGTAAACAACTGTAACTTTTTCACTTATAAAACACTGAATTCATGTTAATTTATTCTAAAGCTATACGGCATGTCTTGGGCTATCGATCCAACACGTTCACTATTCTATTATGAAACGAATGACAATGCATCATTCTATGCATATCAAAATCAGCGTTATCGTCCGCGATTCGTTGAACCTGTTGCTGGGTCACTAGAATCGGATGCTCGTGAAGCTTGTAACATTCCGATGAACGCCACTAGCTCATCTGAATGGACTCCAATTCAAAGAACTTGCTATTACGATATTGCTGTCACTCAAGATATTGATTTTGGACTTGTCTCACGTCAAGCTGCAGAGCAACAAACTGAACAACGAGAAGCCATACGTAATCCACCTCAATTCAATTCTCAACTTTCTCTAACACGAATAGTTTTTATTGATCAGCTAGTAGAAATATCGTTTCAAGCTATTAGTGAATTCAGTTCCAGTATTATTTACAAACTTCTACATGGTCCGGATGAAGCAACCTTGGACGAAGCCACAGGTCAATTTCAATGGACCGTACCGAGAGGCACAGTTGTTAGCAGTCGAATTCCTGTGAAAGTTAGTGCTCAAGATACAACCTATAATTTTACATCAGCATATGAACTTGTACTTAAAATTCAACAGAAAAGCATCGCATCCATATTCACCATCTCAACACTCTTATTAATCTTGCTATTCATTACAGAAATAATGATTCTATAATCTGTAACATTTAAGAAGTGACTCATTTTTTTCTTTTGAATTCTTGACATTATATTTTGAATAAAAAGATGCGCTTAAAGTATATATTTTATTTTACCCTAGAAAAAATCTTTGATGTTTCCTTTCTAGATCTTTCACAGATCCGCCAAGGATCCTGCAAGGATTTGCTGATTTTTCCTGAGGAAATGATGAAATCCTGAACAAAACGTGTAGCCGTGAAATTTCAAGATCCTGGCAGAATTAAGAGCAGGATTTAAGGAAGATCCTGAACAGTTTACCACTAGATTTAAAATCAAGCATCTGGCCAAGGAATCCTAAATCCTGAAAGGAACGAGTACCAGCGAAATCTTCAAGATTTGTGCACGACTCAAACAAGATCTTATAGGATCTTGCCAGGGTTCTAATGGTTTCCAATGAAAAAATTCTGTTGACATCTTCCAGAATCGCATAGGTTTCCTCTAGTATCTTATCATATTTCCTGGGCTGATCTTGTCAAGATTTATCAATATTTCTTCCAGAATGTTATTAGGTTTCTTGGAAGGATCTTTGCAGGATTTTCTAAATAGAATATAAATGAAATGAACACATAGAGTATTGATTCTTAGACGTTCAGTTTACATACCGATCAGCTTACCCAGATGGATGTGCCATGTAATTCTTTATCACTTCAACATTCAATATCTTCATTGATGACTTTAATGTAAACTTCTATTTGAATTTTATGTACATATAAATTATTTCAAGAAAATTCTGACAATGGGATATTATTTTAATATTTATTTTAGTTGATGAAATTTCATCATTTTGGAAAATTTAAATTCGATTTAAAAAATATATTTCGAATTTTTTTTATTTCAATTTGATTTAAAAATATATATGGATTATTTTGTAATTTTGATCTGATTGAAAAAAGCATATTTAGAATTCATTATTTCAATTTGGTTCGAAGTGTGGGTGTGCGTGTAGGGTGTGGGGTGGCTATCTGGGTGTGGGTGT